TGCTGGGGATGTTCCTGCCCCAGGACAGAGTGAGGGGACAGGGTGGCTGCGGGACCCGGTGGGTCGGGGGTTCCTTTGGCTTGGGGGTGACACTGGGACCCCTTTGTGCTCCCTCAGCCGTCCCGGGGAGGCAGCAGCTCACTGGGAGCTACCACAAGTGCTGATTTGTTGTTTTCTTCCGTAGCCATGGAGTGCAAAGACAAAGCTGCTGTTCCTCCACGGAAGCTCGTCCAAGGTAAGGGAGTGTCTCTCATCCAGCACACATTAAGAACATCTCAGACTTGTATTTTATTAAATACACTGGCTTGCTTGTGATTAAATAATCTCTAAGTGTTATCTCAGTTTTCAATGTGCTCCAGAATGAATGAGAGCCTTTGTTGTTTCCTGTCTCTGACCTGCTGTTGTTGTTGCAGCCCGGCTGCCCTTCAAGCGCCTCAATCCTGTGCCAAAGGAGAATCTCGACGTCAGCTCAGAAGTCAAAAAAGTCAAGAGCTCCCCGAGTGCTTTTGCTGCCAGCAAGGATCCCTCCCTGGATGCCTCAGGTGCCTCCCTGGACAATGTGGAGAACGACTGCCAGCTGGGCTCCGACGGGAATTTGACTCCAAAACTCGTGAACGGGAAAGGTCCCTTGGACCATTTTATCCAGAAAACCCCAGGAGGTGACACGAGTGACCCTGGGGGTGCTCCTGAGCCCTCCAGGGACCCTGCCCACAGACCTGGGGACAGCACAGAGCACGGGGCTGTGGATCCTACAGCTGCTGTGAGCAATGGCACCATAGGAAAGGAGCTGGGCTGCCTGAGCCCCGTGCAGAGCAGCCCAGCCGGTGACTCTGTGGGGACTGAGGGGCCCTGTGCAGCTGCAGGAGCTGGGAGCCCCCCACGCTCCAGCCCCACGGCCTGCCAGGAGGCAGCAGGCAGGAAAGGCTCTCAGGGAGAACTGAAGGATGTGCTCTTTGAGGGGAAGGTGCCCGTGGTGCTGCTGGAGGACATCATGAGCCTGAAGTGCCCCCAGGTGGCCTCGTCGGAGAGCGAGGCCCTGGAGTCGTCCCACGAGGGGGACTCGGGACTGACCAACTCCTCGCTGAGCTCTGGGGGCTCCCCCGAGCTCCTGGCACAGAGCAAGGGCAGCAGCAGCAGCCCCCTGGCTGCCTCCACACCTGCCAGGAAGGTGGGTCTGCTCTGCTTTGGGCTGCTGGGGAGCAGGGTGATTGGGGCACTGAGGAGTGTAGGAAACGTGCTGGGGATTAATTACCAATTAATTACTGAATTGTTGCCCTTTGGGGTCTCTAAATCCTTGATCCTCCTTGCTTCTGGCTGCTGCTGTATTTACATTTCTTTAGTGAAATGCCCTCTTGGGGCTTGGTGTTTTAGGAACAGCACTTCTGTGTTTAGGTGGCTTTTCCCAAGCTCTGTTCGTCCTCCTTGGAGCTGCTGGGGTTCCTGTGAGGATGTTCCCCCAGAACAGCCAGTGCAGGTGCTTTTCCAGCTCTGAATTTCTGCTCTCCTGCCTCATCCCTGGCACTGCCCAAGGCCAGGCTGGGTGAGAATTAGAGCAGCCTGGCACAGTGGCACGTGCCCCATGGCAGGGGTGGCACTGAGTGGGCTCTAAGATCCCTCCCAACCCAAATCATTCTGGAATTCCATCAAAAAGCTCTGGGTGAGGGGGTTTTTGCTCACCTGAGCTTCAGCCATGCTGTTTTTGGGGCACTTTGGACAGAGAAGCTTCCAAGGGTGGCAGCACCTGCTCAGGTGGCTCCAACACCACGGGGATGGTTCTCCCAGTCCTTCTGTTGTGTTTATCAAGTCAAGTGATCAATTAATTCCTCCTCTGTGAAAACTCCCAGTCTTCCCTCTCTAAAATAAACAGACACACTCCAGCAGGCATGAAGAATTTCCAGTGTAGCAGAACAGCAGAAAGCACTCCTGGTGTAATCCAGCACTGCCAGTGGGGCTGGATTTGCTCCTGTGCTGCTCCCCAAAATGAGGGTTTGTACCCCAAAGCTGTGCAGCTGGCAGCTTTGTTTTCCTGGGAGGAAACAGCTCTGAGGAGCTGAAGCCCCCACTTGACAGAACTGCTGTTTTCTATCAGATAAATATAGAAAATAAAGCAGTTGGGCTGTGTTAGCCTGTTAATCACAATTTAAATGTGATGCTGTGAATGGCAGCAGGAGGAGGGGGATCCAGTAAATCAAGTCCCAGTGTGCTGAAATATTGACAAATTAGGCTTTTAACCAGTCTATGAGCTGTCTTATGCATAAAAACATAAATTTTTTCTTTTTTCTTCCCCCATAAATAAAAGATAAATGAGAAATATGCCCTGACTGGAATTTAGGGTCAGTGAGCTGTTACTGGTGGAAGATCAAGTGGACTGTGATGACAACACAAGAAAAATGTTAAAATGTGGAAAACAGTCCTTGTGTTTATAAAGTTACAGCTCAATATCACAGCATGATAGGTGGATTAAAAAAAGACAAAAAACCCCAAAAAACAGCCCAAACAAATATAAGTTTTGCTGGAAGGGACAGGAGGTGGATCCAGGCTGGGGTGGGAGTGGGGAGGTTGGATATTCCTGATCTGTGCCCTCATTCCCTGCTCTGGGGGAAATTGGGGTGACTGGATGGCATCCTGTCCCTCAGGATCTCCTCTAAAACTTGCATTTTTGTAATTCCAGGTACCTCAGAAATTCCACAGAAGTTCAGCAGAGAAGGAGAAGCTGAGATTGCAAAGAGTAAGGCATTCCCCTGACACCCAAACCTCCCCTGAGGAGCCAACAAAGCTTTGCCTTTTATCTCAGCCCAGCTGCAACATCTCTTTTGCCATTTTTCCTCACCCTTAGGAACGTGCAAGAACCTTTAATGCAGGCAGTTAAAGTGCTTGGCTCTTTGCAAAGCTCCTGGCTGCATTTGGGGCTCTTTGGGGAGAGATTGAAGCCCCAAGATTTAGGTTCTGATTTTATTAATACACAAGGGAAATGGGGCACTCTGTGGCTTCCTAGATGTCACCACTGGGAATGCTCAAGCTCCAGGTTCTGTTTGCTTGGGTGCAGCTCCTCAGCAAACTCTGCTGCCACTCATGTAGAGGAGGCTGAAGGGTCACTGCTGCAGGAATTGGGTTTTTTTGGGTTGTTTTTATCTGCACTGGCAAGGTTTGTGCTCAGGAATTTGTGTGTCTCTCAGTGGCTTGTTTATAAACTCGTGTGTTTTATGTAAGTTGTAGCTGTAAAGCTTTTCAGCTTTTCCCAGTGCCCCCATATAGAATTCCAATCTGTTGTTTTCTTCCCCTTTGTATAGCTGTGTTAAAAATAGCAGGGATGGGAGGGAGAGAAAGGAGAATGGAAGCTAAAAATGATGCTGGGGATGAAGCAGAGCCACCAGTGAGCTGTCAGCTTCACACCAGCACCCTGCACATTCCATGACTCAGGCTGACAGTGTTGTTTCCTTGCCATTGGCACCATTTGGCTGTTTGGTGCCTTTCTGCAGTTATTTGTGTGGTGACACTGCTCAAGGAAGCCTCGATGTTGACAAGGAGAGATGTGAAATCAATAAAAGAAAACTGAAAATACCCAGGGAGGAGTTGGGAGTGTCTGGGCACAGGCAGATCCTCCTTTCCTGGTGACATCACCAGTGCCTGCAGCACAGAAAAGCTTTTTCTCTTTAATTCGACTTTTTTTCCTCCTTTGTGTCAGCAGAGCCACAGTGGGAATTTACAGTTGTTTTGGCAGGAAACACCATAAAAGGCAACACTTCCAATAAAATCTGTTCCCAGAGTGCCCCTAGAAAAATCTCAGGGCACTGGTGATGTCTGATGATCTGGAATGGAAGAAAACAAGGGATAAGCTCCACAATCTGGGGTTTGGAAAATGACTTTATTCCCTGAGATCATGGAATAGCCCAGCTGGGGGGGACCCACCAGGATCATCAAAGTGATTCCTGTGCTTGTGGAAACAATCAGAAAATCCTTGTGGGTTTGTGATGTCAAACCAGCTCAAATTCACCTGTAGAAGTGACACCACTGTAGCCCTGTGATGACACCAAAGCATGAAAAGCTTTGCTCAGGGGAAAATATTTTGCAAAGAATCTGAAATCTCCTATTAAATAAGGGAATAATTGCGATTTTTTAATTCCCATCTAATTTTCCATAATGCCACTGCGGTAATGAAGATGACTCAATACAAAGCTTTCTTTGATGCTTAGAGAAATGAAAATACCTTTTTTCTTTTGCTGAGGGAAAGGAATAATTAAAGCTTTCAGAGAGGCAGCCCAGCTGAGGCAGGGGGGCTGTGGATGTGCTCCCACCTGCATTCCTGAGCAAAATGAGGCTCCTTCCCATTCCAGGATCTTTTGTGATGCTGCAGGTCAAGCACTGGGTGGGCCCAGCTTCCTTTTTGAGCAATCAATGCTGATTTTCAGCAGTTTTGGGGAGCCCAGAGCTGCAGTTCTGAGTGTCCCCTTTGTGCCCCAGGACCAGGAGCGTGCGGACAAACTCCTGAAGCTGCAGGCAGAGAGGGAGGAGAAGGGGAGGCTCAAGGAAGAGGCAAAAGCTGCGAAGGAACGAGCCAAGGAGGAGGCCAAGAAGAGGAAAGAGGAAGAGAAGGAGCTGAAGGAGAGAGAAAGGAGGGAAAAGAAGGAAAAGGAGGAGAAGGAGAAAGCTGAGAAGCTGCGAGTGAAGGAGGAGAAGCGCAAGGAGAGGCAGGAGGCTCTGGAGTGAGTGCCTGGGTTTGTGCAGCCCCTGTGCTGATTTCCATCCCTTCTTTCCCTGTCCTGCTCCAGCAGCACGGGCCTGGGGTCTGAAATGGGGGACTGGGTTTGTGCAGCCCCTGTCCTGATTTCCATCCCTTCTTTCCCTGTCCTGCTCCAGCAGCACAGGCCTGGGGTGTGAAATGGGGTGGCTCTGAAATCCTGAGGGACTCTGTGCCCCCATCCCAGCAGTGCCCTGAGCTTCCCCTCCTGACCTGTGCTGTTTGTGGAGGAAGTTACTGGGACTTGGTAACCCCTGGAACTCCCTGGCATTGAGGGAAACTTGAGGCAGCCCATGAACTTGAAATGGGTCAATATTTGCTCTGGAAGGAATGAACAAAGTCTCCTCTGCACTTCACCAAGTGTGGTTCTTGGCTGGGTTTGACAGATGATCCTCGTGGTGGGGTCTGGGGCTTCCCACCTCCTCCTCAGTGCAAATAAACCCTTCCATCTTTGTTTTCAAGGGCAAAACTTGAGGAGAAGAGAAAGAAAGAAGAGGAGAAACGGTTAAAGGAGGAAGAAAAGGTAAAAATGTTTTCTCTGGCTCGTCTCTAAATCCTTTCTGCGGTGAAATGGTGGAGCTGGTTCCTTTGGGTGCAGCCTGACCTGCTGGGGCTGCTCCATGCAGGTTTTACCTGTTCCTTTCACCCCTGTTGGTTCCTTTGCTTTTCCCCTCTCTGTGTGTTTCTGAATGGCCACAGGTGACCCTGTGCCCTGGCAGTGCCACTGGAGCCCTGCTGGTGCCAGGCAGGACAATCAGAGCTTCTGTTGAGTCACAGGAGCTGTGACTGCCTGAACTTTGCTTTGTGCCTCATTTGAAGTTGAGTCATGCATGAGATGAGCTCACCTGGCATTGCAGAGCTTTGTCCCACCTCACGTTTGCATTTGGGTTCTCGTTTCAGCGCATCAATGCCCAGAAAGCAGAGATCACCAGGTTCTTCCAGAAACCAAAGACTCCACAAGCCCCCAAGGTGAGGGACTGCTGTGTGTGTTCTTACAAAAATATCCTGATTTCCTTCTCAGCTGCCCCTTACAGCTTCTTAGTTGGTCAAAACATTGATTTTTCTTAATTTCCTGGTCTCAAAAGTGCAAAGGATTTTGAGAAAATGCCCAGAGCAGAGGCTACAGAAGACATTTGTGGTTGGTTCAGTGAATCTCAGCTCTGTCTTCTGCATTGCCTGGAAGATCTGGAGTCCTGGACAGGAAGGGCTTAACTTAATCTTCACTTAACCTAAATCTTCACCTCAGACAACACCTCAACAGCAGGACAGCAGGTGTTCCTTGCATGTGTTGGTGCTGCAGCTTCTCAGTGTCCAAACCCTGACATTCCTCACTTGATGTTTCAGACCCTTGCTGGCTCCTGTGGCNAAGGAGAAGAGCCCCAGCAGAGAGGGAAGAACAACACTGCAGCAAAGATTACAACAGGGAATCCACAGGAAAACATCCTGGCTGCAGGTGTTCCCTTGGATGTGGCACAGGCACCTCTGTGAGGGGATGCCCTGGCACCTCATCCCTGTCTCCAAGAGGTTTGGGGGACACTCAGCCTCTGCTTTTCCACCTGCCACAGGTGGAACCATGGATGGGTAAGGCTGGAAAGGAGCTTTAGGAGCCCTGAGTGCAGCCCAGCACCAGGCTCACCACAGTGTCCCCAAGTGCCACATCCACACTTCAGGGATGGGGACTCTCATTGCCCTGGGCAGCCTGTTCCACTGCCTGACAAGCTTTTCCATGGAAAAATTTGCATTAATATCAAATTTCAGCCTCACTGAGGCCGTTCCTGCCTCCTGTCACCAGGCAGAGCTGCAGGATGTCAACCCCAGCAAATCCAGCTTTGCCCCAGCCTCAGGAGCAGATGAATGTGGAAAGATAAACCCAGGAGAGGCAGGGGAATGCAGCCCAGGTTAATGCTAACACAGCAACATCAGTGCTGTGGGACAGAGGTTGGCAGGAGGCTCCAGGCTGGCAGCAATCAGCAAAAAAAATCCCTCGACTTCCCAGTCCAAATTCCCATGTAGAGATAAGGAGCTTAGAGGCTGATGCTGCCAAATCCCTCCCACAGGAACTCCCTGCTCCCCTCTTTGCTCACAGGCTGCTCAGGCCCTGGCACAGCTCCCCAAAAATGCTGGGGCTGCCCCATCCCTGCAATCCCCCCTGGAAAAAGCCCCCTACAAGGCTTTTCTTGAAGGCAGAAGCAACCCAGAGCCTCCTGATGGATTCTCCAGGACTTTGGGCACCTCCAGGCACTCCCAGCCCTGCAATTATCCAAGGTTTGGAGCAGTGCAAGCTGTCCCTGCCCATGGAATGGGATGAGCTTTAAGGTCCCTTCCTACCCAAAACACCTCCAAGAGAAAGCCTGGAGAGGCCAACGGGAGCAGGGCTGAGTTAATATTAAAAAAACCCCCAAATTAACAAAAAAAAAAAAAGTAGTTTTTGAAAGGTTCACCTGGGAAAGGGAAGAAAAACCCCACGTGCGAAAGCAGAGCACAAAATCAGCACAGAGAACCTGGGCTGAGGAGGGAAGAAAGGAAGTGAAGGAAATCCCAGTTCAGCAGCACCAAGAGCAATGAATGACCACAAAGGCCAAGAAAAAGGGGAAATGCCCTCGGTGGCAGCTGCAGCTGTCCCTCAGTGTCACACACGAGCACATCCCCAGCCCACAGCAGCGCCTGGAGGGAGCTCCCAGGGCAGGGAGAGCTTTCCCTGCTGGCCCAGGGAGCATTGGGCTCTTGATGGCCAAAAATACCCCTGGAAACCTTGGGAGCTGTCATCAAACACAGGGAAACGTGTGTGTGTGTGTGTGTGTGTGTGTGTGTCAAGGGCTGCTGAGATTTAATTAGCACTTGCCTTTTCCCCTTCTGGTAAAGGGCTCTGGGTGAGGAGGAGGAGGAGGCTGGGCTGTGCCTTGGGCCAGCACGAGCTGCTGAGGCCAGGCAGGCCTGGCAGGGTTTAGGCTCAGCTCACACAGGCCTTGGGAGCACGTTAATCCAGTTTGGAACGGCAGGGCTGAGCCCCAGCCTGGCTGGGCTTGGAAGGGACCTCAATCCCATCGTGTCCCAGCCCTGCCACTGCCCCAGCCGGCCCTGGGCACTGAAAGGAGCTCAGATCTGAGTTCTCCTCCACCCCAAACCCTGCTGGGCTCCAGGGTGGCACCCCCAGAGCTGGGAATGCCAGAGCTCCCACCACAGCTGGGCTCTGGGAAGGGCAGCACAGACCAGACATGGATTGCCTGTTCCCAGAGAGCTCCAGGTGAGCAACACAGACCCATCCCTGCATCCCAGAGAGCTCCAGGTGAGCAACACAGACCCATCCCTGCATTCCCCATCCCCAGAGAGCTCCAGGTAAGCAGCACAGACCCATCCCTGCATCCCCTGCCCTCAGAGAGTTCCAGGTGAGCAGCACAGACCATCCCTGCATCCCAGAGAAGCTCTCCTGTTCCAGGTGAGCAGCACAGACCATCCCTGCACCCCCAAAAAGCTTCTCCATGTCCAGGTGAGCAGCACAGACTCATCCCTGCATCCCCAGAGAACTCCAGGTGAGCAGCACAAACCCATCCCTGTATCCCTAGAGAGTTCCAGGTGAGCAGCACAGACCATCCCTGCATCCCCTGCCCTCAGAGATCTCCAGGTGAGCAGCACAGCCCCATTTCTGCATCCCCTGTCCCTGCTCCTGCTGCAGGTGAGGCAGAACCCCAGGATCCCTCCAGCCCTGCTGCCGCCCCTCAGGATTCCCCAGGAACGCTGTCCTGCCCACTGCCTGGGAGCATCTGCAGGATTTGAGGATTCCCAGCAGTTTGTACAAAACCCAAAGGGTGCAAAGGAAGCTGTTTGCACACCAGAAGGTCCCTGTGAATCCCAGGCTGGATGAAACCTTGGACCAGGCACTTCCCACCCTGTTCCCAGCTCCAAGCTGCTGCTGCTGCTTCTTTCTCCCCCTTCCTCAGGATGTTTCCTCCAGAAACATCTTTATGGGGTTTTTTTTATTATTATTTTTTTAGAGAACAGTTTGCTGTGAACAGGCAGAACCTGTTCTGGACACACTCAGAGCTGCTCCCCATCTGCAGCATTTGCCAGCACGACTCAGATTTATTTTATTTTTATTTTTTGGTTTTTTTTTCCAGGATACTCCAGGCTCTCTCCTGCGTGTGGGCGCCCGGCTGCCTCACCCAGGGGAGACGTGGGCTTGCAGGAATTACATGGAGGAGCCCCAGGAGCCAAGCCCTGCACCCCAAACCCTCTGGGGTCCCTGCAGACCCCGCTCCTGGCTCTGCTTGCCCTCAATTGAGGACAGCCGTGGAACGAAACGTAACGTTTTAGGAAAGATCTTCCACATGTTGGGCTTTGGCAGCTTCTGATGGTTTGGAGGGAGCCAAAAAATAACTAATCCTGCTCTCCTTCAGCCAAGGGCTGAGTGGGACCAGAGGGGAGAAAGGGGGGAAAGGGAAAGAAGGGAGGGGGAGACAAAATGGCCAAACTGGAACCAGTGAGTTCCAGTTTCCAGTCAGAGCATCTCCAAGTCATAGACACCACTGCAAAGGGTGGTAATTTGCAAATCCTCCAAAAAACCAGCTTCATCTGGGGTTTAAAATGATATTTTTGGGCTTAGGAACACGTTAGTCCTGAGTCACCGAGGGGTTTCCACCTCCTGGCACCAGCATAGCAAAATCCTCCCACAGCGAGCCCCCAGCACGACTTTTCCCCATGGAAGTTGTGGAAAAACACCCAAAACAGCACCCCAGGATGGGTTTGGTGGGAAAGGGGGTGGAGGATGACTTCAGGAATTTGTTCTTTTGCTTTGCTGGGTAAATGAAATGGATTTCGGGGAAACAGAGCCGAGGAGGAAGGCGACACACGTCGCGCACAGGGGTGGGATGAGCTGCAAGGGTTTAAATTCAGGGATGGAAAACACCACCCGTGCCAAATTCATCTGGAATTCAAACCAGGGGCAGGAAAGCGGCAGCAGCAGAGGGGGGATTTGGGATTCCTGAACCGTTCCCAAAATGCTTTAACAAAAGCTCACGACTGTGAACAGGAAGCGCTGGGAAGGGGAATTCTGCTCGGGGGGATTGGGGATGGTCACCCCTCATTTCGGGAGAGGGAAAGGAGTTTGTGAGCCTTGTTTGGNACTTTGCACTTGCTCCAAGCCCAACCAACCTCACCTTGGAGCCTTCCAGGCATGGGGCAGCCCCAGCTTCTGTGGGCAATCCATCTCTGAAACCAGTTCTGGAGTGCCTGTGCTGATTTCTGTCCCTGTGGTTTCTGAACCTTTAACCCATTCTGTGCCACTTTTCCCCTCTGCAGTTCTGGAGTGCCCATGCTGATTTCTGTTCCCCCTGATTTCCCAGCCTTTAACCCATTCTGTGCCACCTTCTCCCCCACAGTCCTGGAGTGCCTGTGCTGATTTCCATCCCAAAGCTTTCCCAACCTTTAACCCATTGTGTGCCCCTTTCCCCTGTAGTTCTGGGGAGTACCTGTGCTGATTTTTCCCCATTTTAACCCATTCTGTACCACTTTCCCCTTTGCAATCCTGGCCCATCTCTGGAGTACCTGTGCTGATTTTTCCTCACCTTTAACCCATTCTGTGCCCCTTTCCCCTGCAATCCTGGCCCAGCTCTGGAGTGCCCATGCTGATTTCTATCCCCGATTTCCCAGCCTTTCACCCATTCTGTGCTGATTCCTTCCCCACCTTTAACCCATTCTGTGCCCCTTTCCCCTGTAGTTCTGGGGAGTACCTGTGCTGATTTTTCCCCACTTTAACCCATTCTGTACCACTTTGCCCTTTGCAATCCTGGCCCAGCTCTGGGGAGTACCTGTGCTGATTCTTCCCCACCTTTACCCCATTCTGTGCTGATTCCTTTCCCACCTTTAACCCATTCTGTGCCACTATTGCCCTGCAGTTCTGGCCCAGCTCTGGAGTGCCCATGCTGATTTCTATCCCCAATTTACCAGCCTTTAACCCATTCTGTGCTGATTCC